GCAGGGAAAGCAGTTTTACTTACCTGATCCTCTTCTCCTACAGGCTCCTCTACACTGCTTGACTGGTCCCTGCAGCCTCTTCTCCCCTGCACTCTGGTGATCAGATGCTCATCATCAAGCCCAAAGCAGGGACCATAGCCCTGCATTGGATGTGGCGAAGCCAAGGGACAGTCCACTGACATAGTATACAGAGCGCCATTTGGAAGGTCAGATAAGTTCTGTTCCCTAGACAAAAACAATCAGTTGCCACTTGCAGTTCAGGGGCAGCCCTAATACAGAAAGAACTTTGGAGGTGGCCATAGAAGGACTGAAATTCAGCTTGTAGGTGGGAGTGAGACTAGGTGGTAGGCACCCAAGAGGGAAAGAATGACACAAAGAGATCCAGTTTCAAAGGAAGCATATTGTCAAGAATGTTCCAACCACATTGTAACAGAGTTTATGCAGAGGCTTCAACTGTCAACACTGACAGATGATCTTGCAGGACTTGTGGAGAGCGATGCATGAGAAATGACAGCACCTGGCATAGGAGGTGGCTAACAGGCAGGTTGCAACAAGGTACTAGAAGCAGGGAGGTTCCACCAGCAGCATTATCAAACAGTCCCTTTACTGTCCCTGCTCCTCTGGAACCTTTCCCTACATTATACGCTCTCCCTATCCAGCGGGTTCCTGTCCCTAACCTAACCTCACGCATAATGTGCGCCAACTGCATGGAGCCAGTGCTTTTTAGAAGCACTGCCCTCACTAAAGATGGCCATGGAGGTTTTCCAGGGCAACAGCATCCAATTGGACAGCTGCCCACCTAATGACACATACAGAGGCCTGAAAGGAACATGAATTCCTCCTGTCCTCCACCCTTCCTGCATGGTGGTTGCAGACAGTGCCAACTGTGTAGAGAGGCCAACCTACACCTGCCTACTTGCTACCCCAGCAGGGATTGGCTGAAATGTGTTCAATGTGTGGCCACTGCAGTTAACCAGAAGTTGATCTACTGGTTGACTTCTGTTCAACCATCCTGTTGGATAAAAGCCACTAGATCAACTTCTGTAGCTTTGGATTCCCTCATCCACAAAGAGCGAAAAAAAGAAACTGAACCACGTATGGTAAGTTTTATTTTTCCTGGAGCTAGTCTTTATTTATATGTAGTATCGTCCATTTAGCTGTGCTATGTTATAGGGCTGTTTAAGGGCTCATGTATACGGGGCGTTTGGAAAACTCTTCTGAACGGTGGACACTGACTGCTGGAAAATGTAGGTTAAAAAATGGCATTTTTGGGGCATCTGCATACCGTTTTTATGCGTTTAGAAGCGTTTTTAAAAGATAACCTCAGGAGACCTTCCTAAATGTCCAGAATGCACTGCAAAACAGTAAATAATTAACTATTTCAAACATTTTGAAAGAAATTGAGAGAGCAGAAGCAGAGAGAGCAGAATGTGTTGAGATGACCTGTCTTTTCTGGTTGTATTCACTATGGATCCCATCATGAGCAGAATGCAGCACGTTCTACCATTTTTTCCTTCACGCGAAACCTGGAACTGGCTGCACTGGTGTACTAGGTCTATTTGAGTACCTGGAAAACGTTTGCATGCATTTCTGATGATGAAAAAAGGCTCTGGACAGCATCTGGACATAGAACAGTTAAAAAACGCTTCTAAACGCAAACGCTTATAAACACGGTTAACCGCAATTACAAGCTTTTGGCGTTTGAAACACTGGTAAAATCTACTCCTGAACGCAAGTTTGGTGTATTCAAAAAAATGACTCTAAACTCAACTGCCTGTAAATGACTGTAAACGACATAGTGTACATGAACACATAGGAAAACATTAGGAAGAGTTCAGGGGCTGCTGAAAAAATGCAGAAACATAAAAACGCAGAAAAGCTCCTAAACGTGAGTTTATCAGCTGCAGTGTACATGAGTCCTAAATCTAAGGACTGGGTGGGCAGCAATACAATTCTTTTGGCAGATAAACCTGCTCCCTGTATTTAGTTTGTGTATGTATCTCTGAAATTAAATTGATGACTATTTTAATTGATGTTAGGATGTTTGATCGAATACAGGAGAAACTTATCTCTAGATCCGCCACCTTTATGCAAGATCTACCATTCTAATGGAAATTCTGGCCTTATTACTAACACTGTGTTTGCAGCAGAGATAAAGCATGCAGTGTATGTTTTCCTTCAAATGCTCTGAATTTGAGGGCGGAACGCCCCACAAGACTTGTATGTAGATGAAATGGGACAATGAATGAATAAATCCGCACAGCCGCTATTATCAGCAACATAACTGATGTTCCTGTTGTGGCCCATTTCCGCAGCAGAGGTCATTATATAAATGATCTCGGGGTTACAGTGCTCAGGAGGAACTTAAAATCACAAAAAGAGAGGCTGGAGTCAGAATGTAACTGCACAAAGAAATTAAGAACTCTTTGGCCTATATAGCGACAGAAAATGTATGTGCAGCTGTGATTTTAACTGCCCGGGGGGCCTCTTTCAAGACCACGGTCAAAGCTGAACAGAACTTTCAAAGACTTTTACCAATGCAAGTCCACACATATAACTCACATATAGTGTACCTTCAAACGCAGGGCTGTTCAAATGCATCGCATCTGAATGCATAACACAGCAAAAAGTATCAGTTGACCGGATTTGCCTGCAATGCAAATATACCTTAATTGAACCTTTCCTGTCCAAAGAAACACAAATCCAAACAAATGCAGCCTCAGAATTGTCATCTCATTATATCATTGAAGAAAATGTTGTATACATACAAGCAGATATAGTGAGCCAGTCAACAGTAAATAGCTTCAAACATGCTTGGGACAAGCATAGATTTAACAAAAGTTAACAACCCCCCCCCCCAAACGCCTAAAAAAAACCCAAAAACCCAAAAACTGAAAAACAAAAACCAAAACAAACAAAAAAAACCCCAAACACCCACCCACACCCTCCCACCCTCCCCCCAAAAAACGAGCAGACTCAATGGACCACTCAGTCTTTTTCTGCTGTCACTTGTGCTATGTGTCTACTGTGATTGAGCCATGATATTTCTTCAGAGGGACTGCAGAGACCTCTTACCCATAGCTTCCCACCGCAAGTCTTCGGAGGCACTTCACAGAGAGAGAGAGCAGGCACCCCATTACTGCAATCATTCAGCTGAATCGCAGGGATTGGTGAGAGGGCTCATTGCCCAATATATGCCCTGTTAGCAGTTATTTGAGGAAGGACATTCAAGAGATACTAAAGGTTAATTTTTTTTGTAAAATAACAAACATGTCATGTCTATACTTATCTGCTGTGTGCAGTGATTTTGCACAGAGCAGCCTGGATTCTCCTTCTCTTCTCGGGTCCACCCACAGGCTCTCCTGGCTCCTCTTTTTTGTTGGGTAAACCCACAGCAAGCAGCTTGCTACGGCTCCCGCTTGCTGTCTCAGCCAATGAGGAGGCAGAAACCCGGGACATCCGAGGCTGTCATGCACATCGCTGGATCTCGATGGGGCTCATGAAAGTGTTAGGGGGGACTAGGGGAGCTGCTGTACAGAATGTATGAAGGTAAAAAAACACCTTGAGCCTTTACAATCACTTTAAGCATACCACATCACATCTGTGCCTTATCTATTCTGCAGCAATACAGCGCCTTGAAAAAGTATTCATACCCCCTTGAAATTTTCCACATTTTGTCATGTTGCAACTAAAAACATAAATGTATTTTATTGGGATTTTATGTGATAGACCAACACAAAGTGGCACATAATTGTGAAGTGGAAGGAAAATGATAAATGGTTTTCAAAATGATTTACAAATAAATATCTGAAAAGTGTGGTGTGTATTTGTATTCAGCCCCATTTACTCTGATACCCCTAACTAAAATCTAGTGGAACCAATTGCCTTCAGAAGTCACCTAATTAGTAAATAGAGTCCACCTGTGTGTAATGTATTCTCAGTATAAATACATCTGTTCTGTGAAGCCATCAGAGGTTTGTTAGAGAACATTAGAGAACAAACAGCATAATGAAGGCCAAGGAAACACACAGACAGGTCAGGGATAAAGTTGTGGAGAAGTTTAAAGCAGTGTTAGGATATAAAAAAAATATCCCAAGCTTTGAACTTCTCATGGAGCACTGTTCAATCCATGATCCAAAAATGGAAAGAGTATGGCAGGACTGCAAATCTACCAAGACATGTGCCAGAAATGCTGAGGTTCTTGAGGAGGTTGAGGCAAGGGACAAGGTACCCATTCTTTCATTGGCTCCTAGGGGGTTGCGTTACATTGGTATTAAATCCAGAAGCAAGAATTGAATATAATACAACTTACAAATGCTTAAAAGGTGGTAGCTGCATTAGTTTTCTTTTTTTAGACTTACTTTCCTTAATTTTTTTATCTGCCAGTAATTCTTCCTGGCAGGTGAAAATAAAGGAAAAAAAAGAGCCTTTTAAAAATAAACAAATTCAGCTACATCTAAGACTTGGTTAGCTGCAATATATTATATTTTTTGGTTTGTAATAATGCTTTAATGCACTTTCTGTGCACAACATAAATATAAAAGGTAAACTTTTTTTTATTGCATGTCTATGTGTGCACATTCTGTAGCATCCTTGCCCTCTGACACCTGGCTTGAAATATGCTTGCTTATGCTTGCTAATTCTCAGTGCCACTGCCTGTCAATCTCCTGTGTCAGACTCAGGCAAGACCAGGTTGTTATAGAAGTGTAGATGCACTTGACTTTGATCCACTCAGGTAGAGCCTATTTATTATTATTTATTTCAGGTACTTATATAGCGCCATCAGGGGCGGACTGACCATTTGGAAACTCGGGCACTGCCCGAGGGCCCGGGGTCAGTAAGGGGCCCCATGAGATGCCCCTGATACCTTTTTCATAGGCTTTTTTGAGTATGGGCAAGAACACAGGGGCCCCATGATCCCCTATTGCCCGGGGGCATCACGAGTTGTCAGTCCGCCCCTGAGCCTACCATGAACAAATTACCTGAATGCATACCCTTACTGACTTGACTTTGATCCAACCCAGCTCCAGAAGACAGCCATAGACTCCAGGAAGCCAGAGGAGCTTCAACCAGCGCCGAACAAAGCTGGCCGTAAACTAATAGAATTTTATTTGAACATATTTGATCCAAGAACATTTGTTTAATTTTGTAATCATTAGAGCGGTCAGATCGATGTTTGTTTTCGACTGCAGTGATGGAAACAATTTGAGTAGAATAGAACATTTTTCTTGAACGAATAAATTAGTAACACTGTATGTACTTTTCATTTGAATAGGTCCATTCATTTCAAAATGGACTGGTGAAAGCAAATTAAGTTTTGAAGTACTTTGTCAAATGTACTGAGAATTTTTGTTTGAATGTTTGTACGGATCTTCGGCCAACTTTAGTCTGAACACAGTCCCATAAATTTGCAGCCAATGCTGCTAATCCAGATAGAGTTGCTGAGAATATTGAAACATTCCCTCTCACCCTCTCTAAGAGCAGAGAATCCAGGCAGAAGGTCTGCCATTCATAATTAACTTCTGCACTCTCCCTGACTGTGACAGTAGAATCCAGGGAATTTTTGCAGCAATGGTGTTGTCAGTTGTAACCAGGGGCGGACTGACCATTTGGAAACTCGGGCACTGCCTGAAGGCCAGGGGTCAGTAGGGGGCCCATGAGATGCCCCTGGTATTTTTTTATAGTTTTTTTTTTGAGTTTGGGCAAGGACACAGGGGCCCCATGATCCCCTTTTGCCCGGGGGCCCCATGAGTTGTCAGTCCGCCCCTGCTTGTAACTAATTTTGCACCATCCCTTTGGGCTGTGGGTAAGGAATCTGGGGTAGTGGTGGTGTTTTTTAAAAAACTGTGTGTTGTTCACTGGCTGGGTATGTGGTCAATGGTGCTTCTACGGTGGAGATGTTTTGCTCCCCCTTTACTTGGCATGTTCTGCACTTGAGATAGTTGCCTTCTCTGCCTATAGGTTGGCCTGACCCTGGTGGACTACACTGCCAGGGAAGATTGTTTGCTGAGGACAATACCCTTCAAATACCCTTGTCCCTGAATAACTAAATGAATAAAACCTTAATCCAAAAAGCCAAAAGTGTTATACTTTAAAGCATTAATGGTCAACTCAATTATAGAGGGCCTCAAGTACAGCCCCCACACATCCAGAGGGCCGCACAATAGCAGCACATTTTTGCACCCCAACATCCAAAAATTTTGATCCGGCTGCATTTTTGTCAGGATATCGCAATAGACACTTAGACAGTTAGAGTACAATAACCCCCAACATTGGTGTCAGTAAGTGCAATAATAACCCCCAGAATATGTGTCAATGAGTGCAATAATAACCCACATCATTGGTGTCAGTGAGTGCAATGATAACCCCTAGCATTGGTGTTAACGAGTGAAATAATAACCCCAAACATTGGTGTCAGTGGATGCAGTAATAACCCTTAACATTGGTGTCAGTGGATGCAATAATAACCCCCAACATTGGAGTCAGTGAGTGCAACAAAAAACCCCAGCAAAAAAGTGTCAGTGAGTGCAAAAATAATCCTCTAGCATTGGTGTCAGTGAGTGCAATACCAACCCCCTGCATTGGTGTCAGTGAGTGCAATAATAACCCATAGCATTGGTGTCAGTGAGTGCAATAATAATCCCCTAGCATTGGTGTCAGTGAGTGCAATAACAACCCCCTGTATTGGTGTTAGTGAGTGAAATGATAACCCCCCAGCATTGGTGTCAGTGAGTGCAATAACAACCCCCAGCATTAGTGTTAGCAAGTGCAATGATAACCCCAAGCTTTGGTGTCAGGGAGTTGAATAATAGCCTCCAACATTGGTGTCAGTGGATGCAATAATAACCCTCAACATTGGTGTCAGTGGACGCAATAATTACCCTCAACATTGATTTCAGTGGACACAAAAATCCCCAGCATTAGTGTCAGTGGGTGCAGTAAAAAACCCTTAGCATTAGTGTCAGAAAGTACAATAATAACCACCCACTGTTGATGTCAGTGGATGCAATAACATGGAGATGGGGAGGGGGGACGATGACCATGTGTGAGCTCAGACAAGCCAGTTTAGAGCTTATATAAGTTTTGAGAAAGAGTCAGTATACCTTGCTGGTATCAGGATCTGGATCTGAACCAGGGAACTCTGTGGTGTCTGGCTGTGCCACTTGAAATGCTGGACAACTCTTTGCCTGATTCCTTGGATAACCTTACTCTGTATCTGGTTTATATGAACCCTTTGCTGCTCCCATGACCTTCCTGATTTAAACCATGTCTCCGTTCTTTTGTCTCTGGTTTACCAGATTATTATCTTATGTCTTTGCATACCGGCTGCTGTCCCAGGTAGGTCTACCACTCCTCTTAGCTTGTTCATAGACTATAATTCTGCCTGATCCCATCCAGCTACTACTTGTTATTGACCTTTTGGCTTCTTCATCAACTATGTATTATGTACCTGGTGATGGAGGCCAATGGAGAGAGGGCTTCCCTTGCGGCTAAGTTCCAGACTCCCCTGAGAGTGGGTCAGTGGGAGTCAGGCCCAAAGTGGCACAGGTCGCCTGTAGGAGTGCTGGTTGGTGGTCTACCCAGAAGCACAGCTGATGTACGGAGATAGGTCTGCAGACAGGTGGTGCCTGTGCGTGGTATGTAAGCTCTTCTGGGATTTAGAGGTTTACTGGATAGCCTGTTCAAGCCAAGGTCAGGTACCAGGTGGGAATCAGAGCACACGTAGTGAGATGGGATAGCCGAGGTCATACACAGAGGAGCGAGAGAGAGAGTATCTGTAAGCCAAGCCGTGGTCAGATCAGGGGTTAAGCAGAGTAGACAGGTCCAAGAGCAAGCTGAGTCGGTATCAGGAAATCACAGGTCGCAATAACACAGGAAACAGGATCAAGGCACGGGGAGCTAGAGATCATCAAGCAACTTGAGGAAGTGATGAGCCTCCTTATAAAGGCCATCTGGCACCAAACTGAGGCTGATGTGTGCTTCTGCGGCCATGCAGGGTATTGGCAGAAATGCCAGATCTTCCAGAACTTCTGCCATGGACAGGACCCTGACACTATGCTTCTGCATATTGCATATCTGTTTCATTCGTTACCTGACCCTCGATTGCTCTCTTCCTGCTGAGGAAATCCAGAGGGTCGTGACCTGGTACTAACACACAGTGTGAAACACCTCCATCATCAGGAGCTCTGGTGAAGACCAGCTAGTGGAAAGAAGAATGAAGCAACCGAATGCATGTGCTCTTGCGCTGGACTGTGAACTCCACAATGTTAATATCCCCACATGAGTAAGAAAGGAATGCAAGCCTTGCTGCCCTCAATGGACCAGGGAAATCCAAAGAGAACTGTATATAAGAAACAAAAAGAGGGCGCACAGGCCTGGTGTATTACCTTAAAAATGGGATTTATTTATAAAATGTAAAATACTCACAAGAGAAATGTAAAATCAGATCAAAATGAGAAGCAGGTCGCAAGGGATGCAGAGTGGTTCAGGAATCCCTATGGGTGGTCTGGTGGGGGACTGTGAACCGTTGGATAGCTGGTGGCTGATGCGTTTCGAGGTTGTACCTCTTCCTCAGAGCCAGTCAACCAGGTAGTGCTTAGACCCCTCCATTAGGGGGATCTGCTTGTGTATTCATTTAGCTGACTACTGCATATACCTCTCTGCTGCTACAGCTATTGGCCTCCATGCCTGATGCCAGACTGTGACAGCTGGAGAGGAAGAAAATAAAGTGGACTTTTCACTTTTCCCTAGATGGGTCACTCAAAACTGAGGGATTAATATAACTTTAAAGTACTTTCAACAGCTGATTTATTGAATTACGGAGTATGCCACTTCTTTACTGTTTATTCCTTGCCTATGTTCCAGTTTAAGCTGGTGTCATGACCGCTGCCTCAGGTTTCCTCTTTTAGGGTGGTTTCTTTCTCTTGCAACATCTTATGGAGCCACACTTGCATGCAGAGACTAGAGTTGTGTATCCCTACACTGTGTACATCAATAGAAACACACAGATCCCTAGCCTAAGATGACAAGGTACTCCCCTCCTCCTCCCTCCTCCTCCCTCTCCTCCAAAATAACAGACTGTATCCAGACTGCACTGTCCACTGTTAGCTCTTTCCTGTGAGCAACTGGAAGTTCAGGGAAGTAGCACTGAGAGAGTAGGAGCCATCAGCATTGAACGTGCCAATGATGAGGTAAGAAACTTAACAAATAGTTTAACTGGGAGTGTTCAATATATTGTGCTTAAAGATTACGTTCACCTTTAGGAACATGTTACATGCTCCACCCATTTTTAGGGTGGACCATGTAAGAGGTTCCTGCTCCTGCAGCTCCCCCTTGATCTCCTTCTCGTTGTGACAGTGGGATGGGGATATTCTCCCAGCACCAGCTGTCACAATTTGAAAAGAGCTTGGCCATGCAGGACACCGCCCACAAGGTCGGGTTGATCATTCACAGAGTTCTGTGAATGAATGAATGAACTACAAATGCCGACATCCGTTGTGGCTGATGGCTTGTAGTTCTCAATGGACTACGAGGGAACTTGTGAGCACCCTCATTGATTCCTCCTGTCATTTAGTAACTGCCTGCCCATACGAGGTACGAACAGACAACTTACACTGACAGTCTACAGTACAGGAGTCCTGAATTGCACCCATGATCTGCTGATCATGGGTGCAAAGCTTTACTGGCTCATACAAAAAAAATTGTAAAAACACTTTTTTACCTGCAAAAAGATGTGCATTTATTATTATTATTTTTAAAAATGAATCCTAAATGTCTTAAACTTTTTTAGTTGTGTATAAATTGGAGAGGGATTAGAATACCTATTAGGTTTTTATTGCCACCTCTGCCCTTGAGGAAGATTCACCCTTTCTGTTTGTCCTGTTTACTGTTATCATCAAAGGTGAAAGCAAAAGAAAATCCCAAATTTCAGGTTGTCACCAGAACAGTAATTGAGGGAAAATCTTCCTATGATGACATTCATTCTGGTTACCTGGGACCCCCAGTGGATTCCCTTAATTTCCAGGGATTTCCTCTCACTTCCTGCTTTGGCTATGAGATGGGAAGTGAAGGTAAATCTCCCCAATGGGACACAGGGGAAAAAAAAAACTATAACCTCCCCTTAGCTATCCAAAATGATGAAAAAAAAAAGTTTTGCCTATTGTTTTACTTTAAGCTAGACAACCATGAAGGTTTATTACTACTTTGACTCTAATTGTTCTACTGGAAAGCACCATTTTTGTGGTCCAAAAGCACAATTTTTGTGGTCCAAACACTGGCTTAAATTTTGGGTCCTATGAACTGACACTTGGGATCACAACATAAAAAAGGGTTGAGCACTTCTAGGCAAGATTTCAGTATACAGAAAAGCACTTTGCTTGTAATATCGTGCATGATTCTGAAAAAAAAGAAGCACCCCCCCCCAAAAAAAAATGAGCAGACTTGATGGACCACTCGGTCTTTTTCTGCCACAGAAATGGCTCCGAATAAAGTTTGTAACAGGCTGAAAATGACCCTGAACTTCATCCACCCCGATAAACAAACATGGCTACAGGAGCAATACACATATTCATATATTTTTTTCTCTGCCTCTAGGAGCAGATTGGCCATTTCCCTGCTATCATGTATGGGTTATTGAAGTCATTGTCATTTTTCTAGCCCTTTCAGAAAGAAAATGAAACTTTCGCCAGCCGAGCAATACTGGAGCATCTGCTGGGTCGTCGGATTGCTTTACATATCCTGCTTTATGGCTTTTACAGTTTTGGTGATATCATTTATCTCAGAGGCTACAAGTTAAGCAAATGGGGT